TATATATATATATAGCCTTAGGATGTGTGTGCTCAACAGAGAGAGAGAAAGACAGTGAGAGGGAGAGTGAGAAACCACCCCCCAGAGGGATGGCCACACTACAATTCTTTCTCCTCCACTCTCCACCTGGGATCTTGGGTATGCACACACATGTGCCCAGCATGATTTTTTTTTCTTTAATTTTTTTTTATATTAATTCACTATATATAATTTTTAAGCCACTGGATCTGGGACTTGAACTGTGGTTGGCCATGTGGAAGTCCAGCAACATAACCCCTTCACCATCTGCTGGTCCCACTTTCTTCATTGTAAAGAATGTGAAATGGTAGCATGGATGAATGTGGCATTGTTGTACTTAGGTGACTGGATTTTTGGTGGTCAGTGAATTGTAGTGTAGACAGTGTAAGATCCTAAGTGCCTGGGCTGTACCGTGGATATGATTTGGAGGTTATTACGACCTTCACCACTTTTTTGATTAGCAATATAGATTTGTTGCAAGACAGAAAATCAAAATGTTTTTGTAATTTATATTTTCTTTTGGTCATGCTGTTCCATTTGCTCAGTTGAGCAGATTTAAAAAGATCTTACAGGCTTTTCTGATCCATTAATATTGGGTCATTGGAAAAGTCATGACACATTTTTTGCATAGAAAAATATGTCATGGCTTTTTTGATGACCTAATATATTATTTTCTTTTGCCTATTAGAAAGGACACCATGAGGAAAATCAAATAGAAAAGAATTATTTGTCCATTCACAGGTTACCAGTTTATAGATGGTAGAACTCCCAGATAATGTGCTCTGTTATATAAAGTGTCTGTGTTGTCCTTAAAGTCAATTTCTCTTTTGTTCTAGCAACTGTTCAAGAAAGTCGTGCCTCACCACTGCCTGGGCTGCATTTGGTCTCGAAGGGATAAGAAAGAAAACAAACACTTGGCTCCTACCATTCGTGCTACCATCTCCCAGTTTAATACCCTCACCAAGTGTGTTGTCAGCACCATCCTGGGAAGCAAAGAACTCAAAACTCAGCAGAGAGCCAAAGTCATCGAGAAGTGGATTAACATTGCTCACGTAATTGTCTTTATAAAAAATACTTTGTGTTTAGTGGATGTAGAGACTACTCCATCACTGTGTTTAAATTGTTTTCCCATCTAAACTTTTTTTTTTAATTAGCTAGAGGGTGCATGCACTTAGACTACTCCATCACTGTGTTTAAATGGTTTTCCCATCTAAACTTTTTTTTAATTAGCTAGAGGGTGCATGCACTTCCTAGAGAGAGCCAAAGAGGGAGAGAGAGAAGGAAAGTGAGAAAGCACCCCCCCCCATGGGGCATGGTCATGCCACACTCTCTTCTCTTTGGGATTTCGGGCAAATGCGTGCACACACCTTTTTCAAGCCAAAGGGTCCCAGGACTTGAACTGTACAGTCAGCTCTGTGGGATCCAGCAGCCCTAGCCACCACACAACCACCTGGCCCTTCATTTGGTTTTTGAAAGTCAGTCATGAGACCACATATGAGGGCCCATTGGGTTTTCCTTGTTATGGTTATTAAAAAGTAAGAAAAAAGTTGCCTTTCTTAACATGTGAGCTTATTTTTCCTCCTTAAGCAAGCAAACAAAGAAACAAAAAGAACTGGTCCTTTGTTCACTTTTTTCCAGGTATAGGCGCCCATGTGCTACTTCTTTGGGGTGAGACAGTCTGTCCATTCCCCCTTGTTCACAGCAGACATTGGTCTCTGCCCCACAATCAGTAACTGTAAACTGATGGTCTGTGCATCAGACAGACCTCTCTCCAACCCAGAATGATTCCCACTCACCCTTGCAGTTCCTGGAGCACTGCATCTGCTGCAGATTTGAAGAGTTGGTCCCCTCTCAGAATCCTGAATCTCTTTTCTGGAAAACTAAGACACTCACACAGATCTCACATTAAAGGCATCAGTCCTGAAACTGGAGGGGGGAAGTCTGTTCCTCGGCCTGTATTACATTTTGCTGTGTGCCAGGGTTTGGTTTCTTGGATCGGCTGTTCTGGTCTCTTGGATCAGCATGCCATATGACCTTCATTTAGCAGCATTTCAGTGTCATGACTAAGAAAACATGAAAAGTATTCAGTCAGTTGATCACTGAATATTTCGTGCGCTTCTAATGTATGTAAGCTACAATGCTATGGACTTTAGGGATATAGCAGAATAGAGTACAATTATTTGGTGCTTCAGGAGCCTGTGCTCAGGTCAGGAAATTAAGACATCCTGGAATTATCTCAGCCTGGGCATCATAGAGGTAAAGACACACCAGGGGACTTCAAAAAGTTCAGAAAAATATTGGATTAAAATGTAAGTTTATTTTGGTGCAAAAAAAGTTTGGAAATCCATACAGGTAATTTTCACATAATCTTTTTCCATGAACTTGTTTGAGACCCCTCATATGAAATGAATGCTGTAAAAGTGGGGGAGGAGGAATCATTTCTGACTGGAATGCTCAAGGAAGGCTTCATGAGTGAGATGACATTTAAATTTAGCTCTGAATAATGGACTTTTTTTGGCATATGTGTATAATTTTTCTAGGCAGAAGAAATTACATCAGCCAAACAATAATTTGGAAAAATAATTATGTAGTCTATTAGTTTGTGTCCTGGGCTATATGGGTAAATCTTCAACCAAAACGCATTTTGTTTTACATCCCATTGATACATTTTTTATTCATTGCTGATCTATAGCATCCATGTATATGACACAGTGTGATTCAGAAAAGCAATAGACTTTTGGTTCAAATTAAATATAAATTGCACATTTAGGTGTTAATAAGAAAAATATATTGAATAACTTGAAGTGTATTCCAAATTCCTTAGTATATGCTAAAAAGCCAAGGATCCTTACTCTTAGTAATACAGTTTTATATTAATTATGTTGTGTCTCTTGAAATTAGGCAGGGTGACCTAATAAAACAATGAAACTCACAAGTAGTTTTCTGACAAGAAATGTTTTATTTTTCCTGCATTTATCACAGTCAATTTCTATTGAAAGGATTTTTGAAAATGAAAATAATTTTACATGCAGAAAATTTCTCTGACCTCATTATATACTCTTGGACTGACCCTAAAGCTGCATTTTTACTTTTACATAACATCTTCTGGAAGAGACTGCTTTTCTAGAAATGGAACCATTGCCTTTTGTACTCTCTTAAACCCTTAGCCTAAGCCTCTTTCCGAATAATGTGTTCCATATGTTTATTACAATTTGCATGATATATCTGTGCCTGAGTTCTTTTATTTATTGCAAGTTTCCTGATTTTTAGAACATAACTTTTGGATTCTGAACCTTTCTTGAACCATGCTCTCATGGGCTTGGTTTCCACACTGTAATTGAGAACTTTTTTTTTTTCCTTTCTTTTTAAATGAGAGGAGGACATTGAGGCATTTACAAGGAGTTGGCATGACTTTTATAAAGTACTTCAGCATTTACTGTAAAGAAAATGTTTGAGGGTTAGTTTGGCATAGTTTTCAATAGCCAGATTTGGCAGGCTAAGTTAGAGAATGTTGTTTTCCCTTCATATTCAGGATTAGCATTACTTCTTGAAATGATCCTTGAAGTAATTTGCATTTATGCCCAACCTCTCTGGGACCTCTTGCCCCAGATGTTCTGCACAGCAGGCAGGCTCAGCTATAAGCGGTGGCTGGATTGCTCTGCATTTCCTGTCTAAACAACATCTCCTTGGACATAAGGTGTCGTCCACTCTGCCCATCTCACCATCTCCCCAGGCCTGCCAAGGATTGGACCCTCTCGCTAGCTGTTTGGCAATCCCTGCTCTTCATTCAGCAGGGCCTTGGTTTGAAGGTCACTAACTGCTGATGCCAT